ATCATTTCATGTCACTGTACAGTTTCTACTTCTCTTGTATCTTCATAATATTTCCTTGTGTGGCTATACTGAAATTGATTTAATTGGTTCTCTAGACAACTATTAAGTCACTTCCAAGTTTTTGCTTTTGCAAACAATGCTGCAAGTTATCCACTATGAAAGGAAAGGAAATATGAAATTTTTCTCCATGGAGTTTAACTACTTGGTGTTTTCCTTAGTAACGTGTCAGCAGATATTTCTTTTACTACATCTTTACAATGTGTTTTCTAAATGATAACTAAAAATTTCTCTCATAACTTTAGCTTAATTTCCTTATGAATGGATGAAGTACCTTTTCAGAATGCATAAGAGCCATTTGTCAGGTTTCTAATTTTGCCTTTTGATTGTTTTTCTAATGTTTTGCCTTTTGATTGTTTTTCTAATGGATTGTTTTCTTCCTGATCTGTAATATATTTTTAAATGTATAGATACAATTTCTGTGACATAATTTGTAAATCATGTCTATGAGAATTTGGTAATGATTTTCTTTGTTTCTTTAGGTATGAAGAGTTAATGGGTATATAACTGAAAGAGCATATATGTATAGGAGATACTGTTAAGTCCAGCTCTTTTGGGGACAGAGACAGTCTTTACCCAACCTGTTGTGTTTGTGTGTGTGTGTGTGTGTGTTTACAGTAGTATTGGAAGAACAGAAGAGTGATAGAAACAGAATATAAATTTACTGCATTTTAATAACTTCTGTAGTTTTTCTAATTTTCTGCAGTAAACCTCATACATTCAAATTAAATTTTGCAGAATATCAATTTATAATTTAGTATCTTAACAGTTTAAATCTACTCATAAAAATATGACTTATATTTTTTGTAGTTGCTATGGTAATTATCTCCCTCCTAATCCAACTCTTGGGAAGGAGTATTTTATTTCATCTATAGCAATGTGCCATAAAGTTTGGTGAAAATATGAATCATATTCTTTACTAATTAGCTATTAACTCCTATTAATCCCCTGTATGGGAGATTTCAATTATCAGAAAAAAAATTCTGGGAGGGTATTGTACCTTAATTTTCAAACTATTGGTTTTTGATAAATATGATAAAATATTTTATTTCTTCAGGGTTTTTTTGATAAAAATGTTAATTAGAAAAGACACCAAGACTCTAAATTTGTGTGACTGATATACATGCTTTATTTATTATTGGCAGTATTTGTATTAGTGACTTTGTTTCTTGTGAAATGTATTTTATAGTCTCTATATAATTGTTTTGGAAACATTTAATTTTTTACTGAGTATAAAAAAAGTTTGTTCAAGGGTTTACTTACCATATTCCTTTTTATACATATAAACATGTATCTATTGTATGGGGGCTATCATTAAATGATAAATAGTCTTAACTGGAAAATGGTGATGATTTAAAATATTGTTATTAAAAATACTATTTTAATGTTGTAGGGTTAATTTCATCTAAAAAGACATTTGTATGTCAGCTAATTTGAACCTATGCAAATAAATTTAAATTATTCTCTGAGCATTTGATACATCTATAACTTAAATTTTATTTGTTTTTAAGATGTCAGGAACTGTTGGCAGGGAGCAAGTTCTAATTGTTAGTTTGAGAATGGTAATGTCAGAAATGGAGAAAATTAATTGCCACATGGATGCTTTCAGAACTTTCTCACCATATTCTAAGCACTGGTTGGCATCTGTTATACGTTTGTGCAAGCAAAAAAATTCAGAAGCTAGAATATAATTGTCAGAAATTTGTTTCTAAAACTAGAAAAACCTGAAATATATTTTCAAACAACTCATTTGTTTTTGCTACTCTCTAGAAACCTGAAATTTCTAGTTTCGTATTTGCTTAAGCTTTTTCAATTATTGACAGATTGTCAACAATTTTGTATTGATTTATTCCTAAATCTGAATGACTTCGTGAAGAGACTAGAGAAAGGTCTCATTTGGTAAAAGAATAAAATGTTTTTATGATGGAATAGAAGTGATCACAATCAAGTCCTCACAGGTATTCACTGACTTGTAGTAACCAATACCTACTTATATTGAATTTGGGCAGACTTTATCCTTATATCTTCTGTTTCATCACTGCATTTTGTAAATGAGAAAATCAAGCAGTATTAGAACATTCAAAGTTACACAGCTAGGAAGTATCTGAGCTGTATTTGTGCTGCTGGTTAGAAAAATAAGCATGAAAAGCCCACCTTTTTTTCTTTTTCCTTGTGAATGAACAAAATAACACAAAAATTATCTCCTGGGAGCATTAATCTATTAGAGAGGAGCAAACTTTAAACACTGAGTAAATTATATAAACTAAAGGCAGGATGAGCTTTGGAAAAGCACTTAAAACTAGGGGGATTACTGGTGGCATAGGGTTGGGTTTGGAATTTATATCAGATCATCAACTAGTCCTCACTGAGAGGATAAAATTTGAGCAAGAATGAGGATATGGGTAAATTAGCCTAGTAGATACCTTAGGAATACCAGCATTCTAGAGAAATGCAGATGCCCTAAGGCAGACTAGAGTGGAAGAAATAGTAGGAAGTGGGGGACTTACTGCCAGATTTGCTTTTAGGGGGCAAGGGAGGATAGAGTGGTGTTAGATTCACAGCCTGGTAGAATCTCAGAGGCAGTTTACCTTTTTAAATCTCTTCTTTCACCATTTCAATTATAAAAAACAAGGATGGCACTTCTAGTCATCTGAATAATATATCATTTGTCATTAAGGAGGTTATTTTATATTCAGAGGTATATTTGGAGAAATATTTTGGTCTTCCCACTAAATTCAATTTTAGGTATTTCTTAAAGATTGTAGACTTGGGGGCCCTCCCTGGTGGCGCAGCGGGTTAAAGCACTGCACTGAGAATCTAAAGCCGCTTCCGCATGAGTTCGATTCCCGCCTGCCCCGGAGGAGACCACATGGCGTGGCAGACCTCTCCTGACCCGCCCGCTGCTCCCCTCAGCAGTGTACCTCGTCGATCTGCCTTTCTGCTCCCCACTCTGTCTCTGGTGAAGCCTCTCGCCGCCCCTGCACCTCTGGCCTGTACCCCAGTTCTGTATGCATAAATAAATAAAATCTTTAAAAAAAAAAAAAGATTGTAGACTTGGGTTGAAAACTATGAATTTAAATAATCTTAGATTTTGTTAAAAGATAATTAAGATTGTGAATATTAGAAATTCTTTATGTATCAGTACATCTAATGAATCTTTCAAGGTAGAAAACTCAGAGTCTTAATTTAGGAGTAATCTTTGTTGCTCAGATTTTGACATGTCACACTAGCTAGTAAGTACTCATCTGCAAAGCCCAGTTACAAGTCATGAAATCTGTACTTTTTCTTTGTCAAAAGTTAGTTCATAAATACTCATTTAGAAGATGTTAAGTACTCCTTCCATGTATTTTCCGTCATCTCTGAGACTTGGTACCACTGCACCTGCTTCACTCCTGCTCCATCATTCCCTTCATGTCAGTGAGCTTCAGTAGGCCTCAGGTCCCCTGTAACATGGGATGTTTGTATTAAATAACTGGTTGACCTTATCACTTCTCTAGCACCCTCCCAATAAATTCTGGAGATATGATACATGGCATTTTGTCTACAGTTGACAATACTGTATTATATACTTGACAATTGCTAACAGAGTAGATTGAAATATTCTCCACACATGCATGCACACACACACATGCACACACACACAGGCACACACAAAATGCTTATATTTGGTGATGGAGGTTGTAACTTAATACTGTAACCATTTTGCAATATTATGTGTTATCAAATGAAAATGTAGACATTTAAAAATATGAAGCATCAAAGTGTCAGTTTCTGTTAGCTACTGAGAATAGAATTCTGCCTCATCCATTAGAGGGAAGACACAAATATAATATTATAATGTTGATAAGAGCTATAGAGGAAAAGGATATGGTACTATAAAATTAGATAATGGGAAGATTTGGCTTAATTGGAGAGGAAGTAAAAAATTGGTGATTCTGTTGATATCTGAAGTCCACAATGTAAGAGACCAGGCATGGGGATGAGGAGAGTAGTGTTCAAGGCAAGATCACTTAGAAGTTGTTCAGCAGCCATGGGTTGATTGGTTCATTATGGATATGGATATGGACAGATGGATAAAGTAGAGTCCTAGAGCCCTGTGTGGCTTTTCCAGGCCTTAATGATCTCTCAAGGTACCAAGCAGACAGGCACACCAGGAATGGAGGCTAGCGTGCAAGGGATTAGGCCTGGACCAGGCAGGTGGGGGCTGGGAGGCAAGCAGCAACTGCGTCTCCCAGCCCTCTACAAATCTTTACACTTTTTCTCTGGGTTCTTGTTGGTGTTCTCTTGTGGTATTCCCTCTCTGTAGTCATGAAGCTCATCCTCTCATAGCCATCCTCCAAATAACACTGCCCATATAAACCTGGCATATACGCTCAGATGGGCATATACGCTCAGATGGGCATATTTACGTGTGCTCATACACATGCTCCAGGTGTCCATACTCCCAAGCACCTTCTGCATCAATAGGATCAAGCCCACCATGATAGCTACAGAAGCTAATGGTGTAAAAAGACTGATTAATTTTCTTACCCTACAGAAATCCAGGCAAAACAGTTGTTTTTTGGATTAAGGGATTTACAGTGGATTTAAAAAAAAAAAGAGGAAGCGATATGTATGAGATACAATATTGATTGAATGTGTGAATTACAAGGGAAAGAAATGTTAATACATAGCTTAAAAGCTGTGAATTAATATTGTAACTCAAGAATTTAACCACATGGCCCAAAAGGAAATTAGAGTGAGCAATTTCAGTTAATTCCTATGTAGGACTGTTTCTATTTTAGTTTACCATTGGTGGAAAGAAAAATTACAGAGGAATACATTCTGTACGAGCTACTTCAGTAACACTTCTGCATATCTTTTATCCGAAAGTTAACTTTTAAGAGTTTTCATCTGAGAAGACAAATGAAATTTCAATTCTTAAATGTTATTTTATTTGGTAGAATCTTAAGAAGATTCAAGAAATGGAAAAGAGTGATGAATCACATACTGACCTGGAGGAGCTGAAAAATGCTGACTGGGTAAGATAATTGGATATAGTCTCTAATCAGTTCTTCAGTGTTGAAGACATAGTATGTTTTTTAAAATGCTGGTTATTAAGGACTGATATGAATTGCTACTATGTGAATTTGAGTGCAAAGTTTTACATTTGAGGAACTGTGTATTTTCCCACTTTAAAAATTGATTTTATTAAAATCACTCTATTACCTCTGGGGATTTGGTGTTTTATATATTAATTGCTTAATTAAAACCTTAATACCTTTGTAAGTCAAAGTGTAGGCTCTTTTTCACAATAATATGTGGAAACTAGTATGCATTTATTCAATGAACTGTTAAACTGTTACTGAACTTGGAATGTAGAATGAATAATTTGGGATCTCTGACCTCACAAAACGTGGATAGTTTCTAAATGGATGATAATAGTGTATTCACATGACACACTTGGAAGCATTTTCTGACATGGTACACCAAGAATCCAGTGACACCAAGGACTATATGTCCTTATGTATGACTTAGGATCCCCAAGGTGACAGTCTTGGGGACAGGATAGTGAATTCCATGAAGTGTTAGACTATGGTATATTCAGATGTCAGTGGGAAGGCACATTTTAGAATTCTTACTTTCCAGGTTGATACTGAATAAATAATGACCTCATTAAATAAAGGAGTGGGGGATAGATGCAGATTTAGGGAACATGAACAAGTGTTTTTGCAGATTGTAGATTTAATTGGTTGCCATATTCCTTTCGAATAGCTTTACTAAGTTAAAATTGGCATACAGCAATTTAAAGTGCATTGCTAAGTTCTGATATACCATATTTAAAGTGGCATACCATATTTAAAGTGCATTGCTAAGTTCTGATAAACACACACTCACAAACATACCTATCATCACTACAATTAAAATAATACACCTACCATCATCTTACAAAATTTTCTTATACCTCTTTGAAGTCCTGCCTCCTGTATCTCTCCTCCCTAATTTCCAGGAAGCTTGTGATCTACTTTTTCTTGTTGTAAATTAGTTTGCAACCTCTAGAAAAATGTAGCCACATAGTATATACTGTTTGGGGGCTGGTATTTCTTTCATTCAGTATAATTCTTCTGAAATTTCATCCATGTTATTGCCTGCATCAATAGTTTGTTCTTTTTGATGGATCTTGTTCTATTATATGGATCTTCCACATTTTATCTTTTCTTCTGTTGATGGTCATTTGGGTGTTTCCTATCAGCAGTATTCTCAGTAGTTAGATACCGTCATTGAAGTATTTGGAGTGATACTTATTGGTATATTTAAAAGTAAAGCTTTAAAAAGTTGCCTGTATTGTCTTTAAGTATTATTTGTCCTTTTAGAATACTATTATCAAGTTTCTTTTGTATAGGAGAATTCTCTTGATAGTGTTGTTCTAGGTGTATATTGTTGGATAGTAAATTTTAAAATTTCTTTTCCTAGACAGATAAATAACTCAGATAAATAACACCAGGGTACAGAAGCTAACAAATAGCTAATCAAAACTTGTACTAAAATTTAAATTTATTATCTTAAGAATGCTGCATTTAAAAACACGACTATTGCGGCCCTCCCTGGTGGCGCAGCAGGTTAAAGCACAGCACTAGGAAGCTAAAGCCACTTCTGGATGAGTTCAATGCCCGCCTGCCCCGGAGGTGACCACATGGTGCAGCAGACCTCTCCTGACCCGCCCGCTGCTCCCCTCAGCAGTGTACGTCGTCAGTCTGCCTGTTCTGCTCCTCACTTTGTCTTTGGTGAAGTCTCCTGCTGCCCCTGAGACTCTGGCCTGTACCCCAGCTCTGTATACACAAATAAATAAATCTTTAAAAAAAAAAAACCAAAAACTTATGGCTATTAACAAGTGATGCACTAACTCCAAAGGGAGTTACATTTACTTAGAACACTAGCTTTTTTCCCTTAAGGCCATTAAAATATATCACCTAGAAAGATTCGAATGAAATTGAGAATGACAGAATCTAATCATCTTAGAGTCTCCATAGTGGAATAAGGGATAAATGATAAAAATCTCTGGAAAGTCTAAACCATGACACTGGTGTGTTATTTTATGTAGTAGTAACGGTGACTTTAATTTCTAAAAGATCATATATGTTTAATTTTTTATCAGACAACAGACCATTGATGTATTTGATGTATTGATATATCTGACATACATAATCGATGCACTTGAGCCTTTTTAGAAATTGTAGCAAAAACTTTTTAATGTAAGTAATCATCCCCTAGTTTATCTGTTTTGAGAATTAACAGTTTCATATGTCAAGATTTCTTAAAACCTGAGGAAGTCAAGAGAAGAGATTTCATTTCAAAAGATGAAGGGACATTTGAACTAGATCTTAAAGGAATGAGTATGAGAATTAGAAAAGTTGGAATAAAACTTAAAGGAATGAGTATGAGAATTAGAGAAGTTGGAATAAAACATTCCAAAGAGAGAAGTCTAAATATTTTATTGATATTAGAACAGTTTTAATAGAAAAAATCTAAGAATCATTAAAAATATGAATATTTTTGTATCTAGGAAAGGAACTGACTTTTGTGCACTGATTTTTACAATCTACCACTTTGTTATACTGGGAAATTGTTTCATTTACTTTTTCTATGGGGTTTTTATCTATATTATCATGTCATCTGCAAATGATGATGGTTTTAGTTCTTCTTTCTAAAAGTATATTCCTTTTATAACATATGTTTCTTGTCTAGTTGTTCTAGCAAGGACTTCCAATGCTGAATTGAATAGACGAGGTGAAAATGGACATCCTTGTCTTGTACCAGATCTTAGTGAAATAGGTTTCAGTTTTTTACCATGTACCTTTGGAGTAATTATTGATTGATGAATGTCTGCTGCTGTCTTTTTGCCCTTTTCTAGTTCTTTGTGTACGTTCCTTTCTTTGATTTAAATGTGAGAGCTGGGGCCCTCCTGGTTGGGTTAAGCACAGCACTGTGAAGCTTTTGCAACCACTGCAGCACAAGTTCAGTCCCTGGTCAGGGAGGTGACCCACATGGCACAGCAGACCTGTCCTGACACACCCACTGCTCCCCTTGGTAATGTATTTTAGTACATCTGCCGGGTCTCCCCACTCTGTCTCTGGTGAATCTTCTCATCCCCTGTACCTCTGACCTAGAACATGTTATAGAACCCTGGTTCTATTACAAATAAATAAATCTTTAAAAAAATAAATGTGAGAGCTTTTTAAAATTTTTCTTGGAGAAGTGGTCTAGTGTCTAGTTTAACAGATTACTTCAATTTCTCTTTGAGAATGCCTTTATTTCTTCTTCATACCTAAAGGAGAGGTTTGCAAGATATTCTTTTTTTTTAAATTCATATATATATATATTTTCATTATTGTACAATGTGTGCTTTTTCCTCTCAGGTATGGTCCCTGCGAAATTCCCACCACCAGTTAACCTGTGCCCCATCACCATGGTTCCTTGTGCTCTTCCCACCCCATTTTGATCCTTGTCCCTCTTCCTTCCCTGCAGAATGTCTGATTTATAGTTGCTGATTTATGTTAATTAAAAAAAAGATTTATTTATTTATGCATACAAGAACTCGGTTAGAGGCCAGAGGTACAGGGTGTGAGGGAATTCACCAGAGACAGAGTGGGGAACAGAAAAGGAGGGTCTACTGAAATACACTGCTGAGAGGAGCAGCCAGCGAGACAGCCAGTGAGTGGTGAGGTCTGTGTGTCACGGGTGTCACCTCCCTGGGAAGGAATCAAGCTCGTGCTGTAGTCAGCTGTATATTGTTTCACAGTGCTGAGACAAGTTGCATTACCAGGGAGGCCCGAATTAAGAATATTTCCTCCCAGTTTTAATTTTTTTTTATTTTTAATTAATTTTTATAATTGGTAAGGTTTATTTTTTTTTTTTGCATTTTTAATTTTTAAAAAAGATTTAGTTATTTGTACATACAGAACTGGGTACAGGCCAGAAGTGCAGGGGTTGAGAGAGAGGATTCACCAGAGACAGAGTGGAGAGCAGAACAGGCAGATCATCAAAGTACACTGCTGAGGGGAGCAGTGGGCAGGTCAGGAGAGGTGTCGTGCCATGTGAATCACCTCCGGGGCAGGCCAGGATCGAACTCATGTGGAAGTGGCTTTAGCTTCTTAGTGCTGTGCTCTTAACCCGCTGCACCACCAGGAGAGCCCTCACTTTTAAATTTTAAAACAATGTTTATTACCTCCCTCCCCCCAATTCACCTGCACATCCTCACCCCAGCCCCCCACATTCCTCCCTCCTTCCTTACAATTCCTCTCCTTTCCCTCTCCCCTGTAGGATATTTCTGGCTTATAGTTGTCTATTTTTGTTTGTTTTGTTGTGGTTTGTATTTTAATAACAATACATTTTCCCCCTATAACTTATTTGGTTCTTTTATATTCCTCTTACAAGTGAAACCATTCGATATTTTTCTTTTTCCTTCTGACTTAATTCACTGAGCATGATCCCTTCTAGCTCCATCCATGTTGCTGTGAATGGCATGTGTTTATCTTTTTTGTTTGCTGAGTAGTATTCTATTGTGAATATATACCACATCTACCACATCTTGGTCCAGTCATCTAATTTGGGGCATTTGATTTGTTTCCAGGTTTTTCCTATTGTAAATAGTGCTGCAATAAACTTACAGGTGTATATATCCTTTCGAATTAATGTTTTGGTGTCCTTTGGATAGATCTCCGAGGAGTGGAATTGTTGGGTCATAGGGCAGCTCTATTTCTAGTCTCTATTTCTAGTAGTCTAAGGAATCTGCATACAGCTTTCCATAATGGTTGTACCAGTTTGCATTCCCACCAGCAATGTAGGAGAGTTCCTTTTTCACCACATCCTCACCAACATTGTTGTTAGTTTTTTTCATATGTGACATTCTCATTGGTGTAAGGTGGCATCTCATCGTGGTTTTGATTTGCATTTTCCTGATTATAAGGGATGTTGAACATTTTCTCATAAGTCTGTTGGCCACTTGCAATTCCTCTTTGGAGAAATATCTTTTAAGCTATTCTGCCCATTTACTGACTGGATCGTTTGCTTTGTTTTTGTTGATTAACGTAAGCTCTTTGTATATCTTAGTGATCAGTCCCTTATCCATTACATTGTATGGAGTGCAAAGATTTTTTCCCGATCAGTAGGGTGTCTCTTTGTCTTGGTTAAGGTCTCTTTTGCTGTGTAGAAGCTTTTCATTTTGATAAAACATGTGCTTATATCTTTTCCTTTATTTTCTTTGCTTTGAATGATGATGAGTCTTTATGTTATTGACATGTATGTCCTGAAGTGCTCTACCTATATTTTCTCCTATGTATTTTATGGTTTCAGGTCTTATGACCACTGTCCATTTTGAGTTGATTTTCGTGCATGGTGTGAGGTAGTGATCTAGTTTCATTCTTTTGCTTATGTTGCAGTTTTCCCGGCACCATTTGTTAAACAAGCTGTCCTTGTTCCACTGCATATTCTTTGCTCCTCTGTCAAAGATTAATTGAGCAAATATGATTTTTAATTTATTGTAATTACTTTTTTCCCCTGGTCCCTTGTGTTTCCTCTAAATTCTTGTTATAAATAAAACCAACTGATATTATTCTTTCTGGCTTATTTTACTGAGAATAATCCCTTCCAACTCCATCCATGTTGCTGTGAATGTCATGAGTTTATATTTTTTGATGGCTGAGTTATATTTCATTGTGTATATGTATCACATCTTCTTGATTGAATTACCTATTTTGGGACATGTGGGTTGTTTCCATAGCTTACTTACTCTAAAAAGTGTTATAATAAACATAGGGGTGCAGGTATCCTTTTGAATTAATGTTTTTGATCCCTTGGATAGATTCCTAAGAGTGGAATTGCTGGATCATATGGAAGCTTCATTTAGTAGTTGGAGGAACCTCCACACAGCTTTCTATAGTGCTTAGACCATTTTGCATTCCCACCAGCAATGTAGAGTTCCTTTTTCCCTTTTTCTCCACATGCTCGCCAACATTTGTTGTTGCTAGTTTGGTTTTTTTTAACATGTGCCTTTCTCACATTGTGGTTTGCAAGAGATTTTGAACATTTTTTGGTATTCCTGTTGGTCATTGCATTTCTTCTTTGGAGAAGTGTCTTTTTAGCTCTTCTGACCATTTCTTGACTGGATTGTTTGCTTTGTTTTTGTTTAGTGTCCACAGGTCTTCATAGATCTTTGGGATTAATTGCTTATCAGTTGTATTGTGTGCAAAAATTTTCTCTTACCTACACCTGCTGGTGGGAATGCAAACTAGTATAACCACTATGGAAAGCTGTTTGGAGGTTTCTCAAACTGCTAAAAATGGACCTTTTACATGACCAAGCAGTCCCACTCCTAAGTATCTACCCAAAGGGCACAACAACATGGATTCAAAAGGACACTTGCACCCCTTTGTTATTGCTGCACTATTTACAATAGGGAAGATGTGGAATCAACCAAATGCCCAAAAATAGATGACTAGATTAAAAAGATTTGGTACATATACACAGTGGAATATTACTCAGCAATCAAAAAATATAAATTTATGCATTTTTGCAGCAACGTGGATAGAGCTGGAAGAGATCAGGCTGAGTCAGATAAGCCAGAAAGAAAAAGAAAAATACCAATGGTATCACTCATAGCAGGAGCATAAGGGATCAGGGAAAAAGAAAAAGAGAGAGAGAAGCAAATATAATAAAGTAAAAATGAAAAACAATGAACAACTATAAACCAGAGACTTGGTATGGGTTGGAAAGGAAATGGGGTAAAAACTGGGTTGGGGGCTCTCCCTGGGTGGAGTAATGGGCTAAAGCACCACATTATGAAACTCTGCAAAGCACTGCAATGAGTTCAAGAAGCTAGCAGCAGCCACTTATTCATGTTATATCGACTACTATTCCAATGGCAACGCAGTCATGTAACGAAATTCTAAGGTAAGGTGTAGGAAATCTTCTACTCTTCAGTGAGCGAAGTGTAACTATTTATATGAAACTAGTAAATTTATTCACTGACATTTCTCCACCCTTTGTTCTTTCAGGCTCGATTCTGGGTACAGGTGATGAGGGATTTACGGAATGGAGTAAAACTTAAGAAGGTCCAGGAGCGGCAATATAACCCTTTGCCCATTGAATATCAGCTCACCCCTTATGAGATGCTAATGGATGACATCCGCTGCAAAAGATACACTTTGCGAAAAGTGATGGTGAGTAACAAAGAAAACTATTAATGGACTCAGTTATTCTTTACTAATTTTATTTGTTGAAAATTTTCTTCTCACAACAGTAATGCATTGTCACTGCAGAAGATTTGGAAAGTACAGTAGGCTCAAAGAAGAAAAATTTAAAAATATATGATTGCACAAACCAGAGAGAAATTTTGCTAACATTCTGGGGTATACTTTTCAGTCTACTTTCTATATGCATCGTTTGGACAAAATGGATTAATATTGAGTACTTTGCTATATATCTGGTTCTCTTCACTTAACATATTCTGAACATTTTTCCATGTCTTTATAGATTGAACATAATTTCTTTCCTTTTTTGTTTTAATTGAGGTATGTAGGTTTACTACACTGTAATTCAGTGTGATAACTATAGTATCACACTTCAGGTATACAGCATCATGATTTCTAAATTACTGTGTGTTCTCTGATTTAGGAATAGAGCACAGTTTATTAAACTAATCAACTTGTAACCAGTTATTATTATTATTATTATTATTATTATTATTTGTATTATTTGTACCAATCATTTTGAATATCTACAGTAAATTCCTGGAGTTAGGTTCAAGAATCCATTTCAGGACAGCTCTGCCTTTGAATTGGGTCCTGAAACTGATACATAGCCACTTCAGAGCCCCTTTATTCCAAGACACCATCATCTATCATTTAGGCTGTTACTCTGCATGGCCTTCCTGCCTTCATTCTTGCTCTTAGCCTATTTGTTCCCAACCCAGAGTAAACCTCTTAAAGTAAAAGTGTGATGATATCATCGACCTACTCAGAACCCTCCACTGCTTTTCATCATCCTCAGAATAAAGTGCATGCTTTAACACTAGCCAGAAAAGTTCCCTCCATCCTATTCCAGTTTATCTCTCAAATAGCAAGTTCTGCTATTCTTAGCGGTTGATTTTTTTCTCCTCAACCACATTCAAGTCTGCCGCCATCTTAAGAGCATCTGCCATACTCCTACAGCTGAGCCTTTGCTCTCCTTCCTGGAGCTCTCTCTTCCCACACATCTACATAACTTTCCTCCTCATTCATCAGGTCTTTGCTCAAATGCAGAGGTGGAGAGAAGACTTTTCATAAATTTCAGTGGCTTATATGTCAGTATATTGTCAGATTTACCATTTGTCTCCCATGTGAATATATAGACTTAGTTATTTCATGATTATATCCCTATGACTAGAATATATGCCTCATACTCAGCCAGATGCTAAATACTGAGATTAATAAATAATTGTAGAAGAAATTAATGAATTACAGTTGTGTTTTTGAGACAGTTTAATCAGTTCTTATGATTTACTTCACATTTTTAAGAAAATGAATTTTTCTTGATTATAAAAGTAGTTGTCACAACTTTAAAATTTATATCAATATACAGTGAACATAGGTATGCAAGCTTCCTTTTGAATAAATATTTTTGTTTCCTCTGGGTATATTCCTAGCAGTGAAATCTCTGGGTTATTCGGTAGCTCCATTTTTGGCAATTTGAAGAACTTCCACACAACTTTGCATAGTGGGTGGACCAGTCTACATTCCCATGAGCAGAGGGTTCCTTTTTTTCCACATCCTCACTAGTATTTGTTGTAGACAGTTTTTGTTTGTTTTTTTGTTTGTTTGTTTGTTTTTTTAATATGGGCTAGTCTCACTAGTGTGAGGTGGTATCTCATTGTGGTTTTAATTTGCATTTCCCTAATTATAAGTGATGTTAAGTGTTCATATACCTGTTGACCATTTACATTTCCTATTTGGAGAAGTGTGTTTTTAGTCCTTCTGCCCATTTTTTGACTGGGTTGCTTGCTTTTTTGTTGAGTTGTATAAGCTCTTTGTAGGTCTTTGGTATCAGTCCCTTATGGGTTGTGTGAAGTATAGATATTTTCTTCTTGTCTGTAGGGTGTCTCCTCATTTTGGTTATTGTCTCTTTTGCTGTAAAGGTTTTTAGCTTGATGTAGTCCTAGCTGATTATCTTTTCCTTCATTTCCTTTGCTTCTGGGGATGAATACTTAAAGATGTTTTTGAAATGTATGTCATGGAGTGTTGTACCTGTTTTCTTCTATATATTTTATGATTTCAAGTATTTTATGGTTTCAAGTCTTACATTGTAGTCTTTTAACTATTTTGAGTTGGCTTTTGTGTATGATGTGAGGTAGTAGTCTAGTTTCATTCTTTTGTATGTAATTGTACAGTTTTACCAGCACCATTTATTGAAGAGACTTTTCTTGTTCCAGTACACATTCTTTGCTCCTTTGTCATAGATTAGTTGACCTTATATGTGTGGCTTTATAACTTGGTTTTTTTTTTTTTTTTTTTTT